GCCTTTGGGCCTGGTGATGTGTCCAGGGGGTCCAAAAAGGCCACTGTGTTTGTGGTTGCCACTGAGGCAGCCACACCGGTGGTAACGGAATGACGTGCCTAGAAAGGCAAATCGAACTGGACTGGTTCCGTGAGTGGGACCGGTGCGGAGAACGGAATCACCGAGATCCAGAAGATTGGTGTGAGAAAGCCCTCAAAATCATGGATTCTGACTCCGAAGAGTAATCCAACGCTGACCATGGTGGTGCCATGGATGAGATCGGATCATGGGACCTGCTATGGTGCGCCAGCACCGCAGGTTTCCCCCGGTGCGATACCCTGGGTGCCGGCATAATGCGTACGGCCCAGTTCTGGAGGGGGCTGAGGGCACGGTGCCATAGGTGCTGGGTGGTTAATATCCTGCGCAGTACCCTGACCCCTGCACCAGCTGGAGCGGTTCTGTTGTGGGGCTTGGTGCCAGGCCTGCGCCCCAGGCCGATGGTAAACGCCTTGGTGCTGGAGGCTTCAATGCCTCTAGCCTCTCACGACAGGGCTGTGCGTGGGGGCCTGCCTCTCGCAGTGCCAAGGCCGGCGGAGATGTGAGCTCAATGAGCTCATGGGCCACCGCAAACGTGTCCAGGACTGATGGTTCACGGACCTCATGCTGAGAGGTCCTGGACCTCCGGACTGCTTGGCTGTGTGGAGCTAAACCTGCACCTACGCAGCACGGGAGCAACATTGTGTTTGGGTGGGCCCTTTGTGGACGCACCCCATGCTCCCACCTCGACACAATCTCCCTCTTTGCACCTTCTGGGTTGTCCTTGCTGCCAGGGACTGGCACTGGCGCCGCAGTGTCAATGAACGGTCAGGCTTCACTGCGCACCTCGGCGCAGCCCCCACATCACGCACCGATGCTGGTGCACTCCTCACTGACAGCGTGGGGCCTGATGGCGCAGGTTGGAGCGCTGACTCCATCAGCAACAGTTCTAGCCTAGAGTCGCGCTTGAGTTTCGTTCTAGGCTTGAACGACCTGCAGATTCTGCATGAGTCAGTGAGATGTCCTTCACCTAGGCACCTAAAACACTCGTCCTGTGGGTCTCTGCAGGACATGGGCTTTTGGAACCATGCACAGCGCTGGCGTTCTCCCTAAGGTGGAAGCAGGGGTGCGAAACAACAATTCTAATGTAAACAACCAAACAACTACTCTAAGGAGAACCATTTACACAACGATTTACTAGAACTAAGGGCACAACTGCAAATAACAAGCAAAGCGCTCCAGCAACCCTGGGGAGGGGGGGTAAGAAAGAACTGAGGGTGGGGGGCCAGCAGGGGTATAGATGGGCCGATATGCCAGTGTCACTCCAGGGTTCTCCCCAGATGGCCCACTGGATACTACTCAGGGTAAAAACCTTCCGGGACTCGTGCACACGGTGCGCGCACACCTAGGTAGAATGAACATAAGCAAGAACTCGAAGAACTTGAACTTTCAGAAAGCCCTTCAACAAGGGCTCTTACCAAAGGCTTTGAAGCAAACAAAGCAGTCATGGAATAAGAGGTAAGGTGCCCTTAGATCGGTAACTGGTTAAGAGACAGAAATAATTGGTCAGTTTTAAAATGGGCAGAGGTAAGTAGCAGGATCCCTGAAGGACCTACCTTATGATCTAGAAAAGAGTGAACACGGAGTGAGGTGGCAACACTTGCAGACACTACAAAACTACTCCAGAGAGTTAGGTCCAACCTAGACTGAAAAGCGTTACAAAGGGATCTCATAAAACCGGGTGACTGAGCAGCATTGGTCTCACAAATGTTTGACTCCCACCCACTTTTGGGTGCGTGTCACAAGTAGATTATTTCCTGCTCCGCAACAGCACTCTCTTTATGCCACCAGAACAAGCTGCTTCTAATCCCCTCGAACCAGGCCTTGAGCCTAGAGCCAAGACCTAGGCTGGGTTGGCATCCTGCGAGGGGAGATGGGAGACAGTCTAGTGTGACTGGTTGACAAGCACTGAGCTGAGTGAAGAAAGAAAACTACATTTCTCATTTCTGACAGGTCCCAGAATCACCTTGGCTGCGCCTATCTTGACCAGTACCCTGGCTAGCCGGGGAAACGCACACAACAGGAGAAAAGCAGCGATAGGCAACCTAGGCTAGTGAGTGGCCCTCCAGCTCACTGGCCCGTAAGATTGTCATAACCAAGACGGTCTTGTGGGATAGGGGAATTTTGCTAAGCAGACCTAGAATTTGCAGGGCGTGCCAACTGAAGCATAGCAGCACCTTGATTGGATGCAGAGGGAGCACCCGGCTCTCCCAGTCAATGCTGTGTGCAGTCAGCACACACCTCGCTCCAGGCGCATGTCACTTTAGCAATACCAGCAGAAAATACAGTGGAATCTGGCAACCCCGCACGTGGGCAACAGCAAACAAAATGTCTTTAGGCCACCACTTGGAACCCAATGGGCTGGAGGGGCCCATGGGCCACAGGCTGCTCACTACTGGGTAAAGGTGTACCCCAGGGAGTGGTGACCCCTCTTGAACACAACTGGGAGCATTCTTCTTTTGAACGAAGGAGACTATCTGTAGGAAACCCCAACAGTGAAACACACTGAGTGGAGTGAGCTCCCTCTCCCAATCGTGAGCTTGGGAGAAGTGTCTGCTGAGGACGGCCACGGCGGCGTTTTGTATGCCTGAAAGGTAAGCTGGTGGGCTAGTGATCTGGCTTCACGTGCACCACCTTCAAAGCTGGACTGCTTTGGTGGAGAGGGAAAGCAATCTTCTCCCCGCTTGACAATTTATGTAAGACACCTAGGACATGTTGTCCATCACACTCTATATATTTGCCTCTGATCAGTGGGAGGAAATGGATACAGGCATGTCTGCTTGCTCTCAGACCCAGCCAGTCCATGAGGGGGGATTCGAGAGAAGACCATCCTACACTGAACAGAGTGAGCGTCTAGGTGGGCTCCCTATCCCCGTAGGGTTGCAGCTGTTCTTACCAAGGTTGATGTTTGAACACAGGGATCCCCTGTGCAAACACAGAGGGTTGTTCGTTCAACATGCAGGCATGGAGAAGAACCTATTTAAGCTGTGTCTGCTTGGCGAGTCAACAGTTCTGAGCCACCCTGGAAGCAGGGGGATCTCTCGCATGATTTACTGTCAAGATGTCAGCTGCTGGGGGACAATTTCTGGCCAATGGCTGAGGGTGACACACTGTATTGACTATATTGGCTAGAGGTATGAACCTGTGGAAAGGAGGAATGCTCTGCCGTTACTGCACTGAGAGAAGCTCCTGCAAAAACCAGATGTTTGCTGGGGTTAAGGTGTGTAACTCAGAAATAGGTCTACGGCAGTGCTCCCTAGAAGGCGAGTGCTTTGGTGGCCACCCAGGAGAGATTCAATCTGATCAGCAGAGCCACCACAGAACCCACATCCAGCAGCATGTTTCTCTACTGGTGGTGCACATCTGCACATGATTTGGTGCACATCATTTATTCTGCATATGGATGGGAAAAGTTAGAGGGAACATTGGTCTGAGTGGCCAAAGTTCTGTTGAAGGAATCCCTTTGAGCAGGCTGTCAGCAAAGTGTGGGAAAATCAGAACTTCTTGTTTGTGGAGATGAGTCATCACCCCAGAAGACTTCTGAGAACACTGATGAGACACGGACCAGGAGCGCCAGGCGCTGAAAATACTCTTGCCTCCGAGAAGCACAGGCCCCTTTGACAGGGAAGGGTTGCGAAACGGAAGTAAGTGCCCTGACCACTGAGGGCTGAGAACAAGGCCTCTTGGCCCATGACTGAATTAGTGCTGGGAGTACGGCCATTTTGAACCACTGGAAATCTGTCGAGCAATACTGGCCTAGAGGAGGCCAGGACTAACCACAGGTTCAAAAGTAACTAGGCAGGTTAATGCAGGCCCATTAGTGAGTATTAGCCAGAGTGGGCAGGGCTGGTGTCCCTAGTCTGTTTGCCAGAAGCTGGGCTGTCTGTAGGGGGCACGAGGCGATGCCCTCCTCCACCCACAGCCTCCCCTGCTTCGCCACCACTGTACCCCCTCCCCCGAGAGGCAATCTAGCGAATTACCAGGGCCGTGTGGACCAGAATGGCAGCAGGGCTTGGGGCCCCCACCCTCACCCTGGCGGCAGGAGCTGTGGGATGCAAAGCAAGGCAGCAGCCTGCTCCACTCCTCTCCCAGCCAGGTCACTCCTCAGGTGCCAAGAAACAGAGCAGAGCCAGGGTGAAGCAGTGCGACCTAGCTGGGAGATGGGCGACAGAGCAGAGTAGGCCACTGCGTTGCCACAGTGAGTGCAGGGGCACTGACTCCTGCTGCCACCCAGGCTCTCCCGGGCAGGACTGCAATGGCAGCAGGGGATGGACCACTGGATGATTACTGGTCTGGTACTCTCTATGGGGCTTCTGGCACTGGTCACTGTTGGCAGACAGGATACTGGGCAAGATGGGCATGGCTGCAGAGAGCAGCTTAAGGATGTAGCTGACAGAGAAGAGCCTTGCCATGGGCACTCAGTACATTCCCTGGGGTACGGTAAGATGGAGATGGCTAGGGCTTGTGCCGAAAGTGTTCACCGACTTGTGGGAGCCAGCCTGACCTGACAGAGCAGAGGCTGGGCTGGGGGTCAGAGGAGCTACGCTATTAGTCCTACTTCCTCACCAGCCCCTGGGACACCACTCCACATCCCCTGCCTGGATCATTCCAGGCACACAGAACAATGGCTGCCCTGTGTAATCCTGGGAAGACCAGGACAACCCGGAGCAGCCAAAGACTGCCTCTTCCTCCAGTCTCTCCGCCGCAGCAGCCAGGCTTTTGGGACCATCCCCACGCAATGAACCCGCCCCCACCAGAGCTGAGCAGGGGAGCCTCACATGCTCAGCACTAAGCTCTTGGAGGTAGGGCCTGTCTTTGTCCAGCACCTGGCCTGGAGGGGCTGGGGCTCCCAGGGATGACAGCAATAGATCACAAAGTGCTGGAGAGCCCTTGCTGTCCACTGGAGTGACGGGAGGAGAACTCACATCATCTTGACTCCCTCGCGGTCCGTGTGGTTGATCTCTGCCAGTACTGCATTCATGTCCATGTTTTTGGTCATTTCTTCTAGCGCGTTCTCAGGAATCATGTCTGCACAGAAGAGGGAAGAGGCGTCATCCAAGCTGCTCAACCCCTGCCACATTTGCCTGGGGGGGCTGCTGGAAGTCCCTGGACACAGCTCTTGCTCCCACAGCAGGCAGGGCACCACCCAGGGGAGCAGGAGAAAGACTCAAGTGGTACAGCCACCCCCAGCCTGGCAGGACTGCAGTGAATTCCAGACACAGCTTCCTGCTTCCCAGCACTGGGGGGCTGTGAAGTGATGTCCTGAAAGCCCAGAGCAAGGTGCACCCTGGATCTCATACTCACGCTGGTGTCCAACAATGCAGTGAGCGGCCAGCAACTTCATGGAGGGCACCTCGAACAGAGCTTGGTGGAAGAGGAGTTCCCGAGCAGTGGGGCGTTTCCCAGGGTCCAACTCCAGGCACTTCTGAATGAACTCCTGCAAGGCAACAAGCCACACAGACTAGGAAGGCACAGCCCACAGAGCCAAAGAGGGGTGCTGCTGCCAGGGGCCAAGGCTGGTCCCTGCATGTCAACAAGCATATTCCTAACACTGCCTTGCACTCACCCTCTGCAAGGGGTCCTCCAGCAGCTGGATGGCGCTGTTAATAGCCTCCTGGGGCACATAGGAGGACTCACCGTTACCCTGGATCTCCAGCACCGCCATCTGCCAGCAGAAAGTAAGGTCAGGCAAGCCCAGGTGGCCTAATCACTCGATCCGAGCTCAGTCTGGAGGGGCGGGGGGGGGGGAAGAGGGGGAAAAATGTGTCATGTGATCAGACAATTGGTGCTTCTTGTAAAGTCCCAGCCCCAGGAGGCACGTGATCAGAGGTAGAGGGAGAATCTGCCTTTTTTATATATATAGAAAAACTCTTGAGCAACCTTCATGGCTGTAGGGACAAGCTTGAACCAAGGACGCTAGCAGACCCGATGGCTCAGCACCCGCTGTTCTTTTAAATCATGACTTTCAAAGTCCAGGTCAGGGTTAGCTGGGTCTCACTCATGGCTTCTGTGTTCTTGGGGTTGGCAATACTGGATCCATGTTGTAGGAGAAGGTCACACCCTGCAGGCCCTCAGGGCCCAACCGGACGGCTGCCGTACCTCTGCCAATACAACTGCTGCTCCCACTGAGGCCCAGAGCCAGTTGGAAAGGCTACTTGCCCAGTACTCTCAGTGGTAGCTAAGAAAGTGCCATTAGCAGTGTTGCTACCCACAAGAGGGAACCTCAAAGCTCCGGTAAGGCTCCTCCCATGCTTCCAACTGCAGCCCGCCACCCCGACGGGACTGCTGTGGTAATGGCTAGCTAGCGCCTGGAAAAAGGGTTGGAACGAGGGCGTTGCAAGCACCTGCGCCGCACTCGGCAGAGCGAATGAGTCCAAACAATGCTCACCTGGCACCACCCAAGACTCTGTTCAGAGTGTCACGGGGACCCGAATAGGAGAGAAGAATGAGAGTGGAGCAAATGGGGGAAGAGAAACTATGGGCTGGGCTATTCTGGGATCATGCGAAGGAAATGGGCCTTGGGGGATTCCCTTGTGCAAAGGCGAACAGGCCCTGCCTTGCTCCAGAGACCGACTGGCTGTTTGCCAAGGACCAGACTGGGAAGGCTGTCTGGCCATCATCACTGGACCCAGACTAACATTCACCGGCTCCTGCTCCAGCGAGTATCTCCAGCCCACACCGAGCTGGTGGGATGAAGCAGCACGTTCACCTCTGCCCAGCCTGGGCAGAAACAGGAATGGAGCCGGACACTCCCAAACCAGCCCCAGGGTGTCACAGGCCAGGTGTAGAGCGAGAGGCCAGGACCAGGGCTGACCTGCTAGTCCAGAACATCTGCCTATGCTTGACCAAGGTCCTTGCCTCCCAAGATGGACAAAGTTCCTTGTCTGTTCTGTCAAAGGCAGCAGCTGCCAATGTAGCCACAGTAACTCCCCCTCCTCCCGGCAGGCTGCTGCTCACAATGAGTAGCCAGCACCTTAGCTAAAAAGGAGCTCTGATTTGCATAACAATTCCACTTCAAAACGCAGGTCCCTCAGCAGTGGAGCTTGGGCTCAAGGGAGGCTGGGGGACAGAGCACAGCTGCAGCCTGAGTTGGAGAGGGAGCGAGGGCAGACCTGGGTCTGGAGGTGAAGCCTGACTGAGGGATGGGTAGGGCTGGTGAGGGGAGTGAGGCTTGGGGTGGAGCTGGCCTGGGGTCATGGTGCTCCCTCCTGCCCCATCATGCACTCTCCACCGTTCTAACGTTTGCCACAGAACTAAGCATACAGGGCTCAGCACTCAAAATGCCAAAGCGGGTTTTCACCCGTCACTGTTGTGCAGCAACAGGGTCACGTTCACACCTTACTCTCTGGTCTCATTTATGCCATCAAAGTAACTCAACAGCATTCCCTGGGGAGGCCACCTCGGCCATCTCCAATAGCACGTTGGCATCCTAGACAATGGGCCTCCAAGCATTTGATCTTTCCTCTGTCGAGAGAGCACAGCACTGAAGCCCTGACACAGAAGGACAATAAAACAAGAGCCCCTCTGCAGAGAACAAACCAGTTACCAACTGCTGCTTCTCTCAGACCACAGGACAAGCAAACTCCTCCCCGGAGACCCGGCTGCTCACTGAGAGGCACACAGACACTGGCTGGGCACTCGGGGACCATCCTGGACATCTTTCCTTTGATCTCCTGTGGAAGCAAGCAACAGCCTGCCAACCACTGCACAGGCTTTTGCAGCGTCCAATTCTTTCTATGCCTGCCCTGGAGCCTCTGTATCCCAGGCTGGGGAGAATACTATTGCACTGGACCCAGCGGACGCCGTCATGCCTTTCCTCACCTCGTGGCCTCTCCTGCTTCTGGGCAAGACTGTCTGCTTTTCTGCTCTAGAGCAGTTATTTGCCCTTGTGTCCCAGGATTGATTTGCTTGATCCCCGGGCTCCGGTTTTAAAAAGCTTTATGTCCAAATTACTGGATCATTGTCAATGCTTCATGCATTGAGCTATGTATACTTCCCATAGAGCCCTGAAGAGATGGGCAACCGGCCAGGTCAGCGGAGAATCCCTCATCATCACAGACCACTAGGAGGGCGGTGAAGCACTGGGCTGGGTTCCCTAGGGAGGGGGTGGAGTCTCCATCCCTAGAGGTGTTTACGTCTTGGCTTGACAAAGCCCTGGCTGGGTTGATTGAGTTGGGCTGGTCCTGCCTTGGGCAGGGGGCTGGACTCGATGACTCCTGAGGTCTTTTCCAGCTCTAGGATTCTATGAAACGCAAGGAGGTTAAGATACCAGACCAGATTTTGCTTCACAGGTTATTGTGGTGTTAGTCTGAGATGTAGTGGGGACTATATTCACCAGTTGCTGTATGTGATTCCTATGGTCATGTGCTGCTTGGGGGTGACTGCATGTGGGGGACGGGGGCGGAGGGGTGCCCAGCGGGAGATGGGATCTCTGGGGGAGAACTCCTGAGGGAAGGCACATAGGGAATGGCCCAGGCTGTCCTGCCACCTGATCCTAGGGAGAAGATGCAACCAGTGATAGTCAGGTAACACCCAGGGCCCAGAAAGCAGGACAAAGGAGGGGGTGGAGCTGCCTAGACAGCTGGAACCAGTTGCTGAGTATGTGATTTAGTTTTGTGATAGAAATGTAGCCGTGTTAGTCTGGTGTAGTCCTGTATTTTGATTTAGTTTTGACTCTCTCAGGGAGAGGGGAGTCTAGCTGGCTTGGGGGGCCAAGCAGGGGCCTAGAGCCCTCACTCAGGGTGCCCCTCTCCCGAAGCTGGGCTGTACTAACTGCTCCTGGTTCCTGTAACAAGTCTGAGCTATGCTGTGTCCCTGCCAGCTGATAGTTACCTCTGGCTGTGGATGGGGTGTGACTCCCCCACACTGACAGTCTGAGCCCCACCAGCCCTCCACATTTCCTACTGTTAGGCCACAGCAGCTTACATAAAGGATTGCAGAGTCCTCTACCTG